AGCGTTCCAGAAGGCTCTGGAAATTAATTCTCCTCGTCCTAACCCCGTCCTAGTTCGCGTGGATTGCTCGCCGTGGGCGGTTTCCTGTACAGCCTCGGGTCTCGGAATCGGAGCAGGGCGAGCTGAGAACCCGGCAGCTGAAAATTGGTGCCCAGAGCCCTCGTGGTGTCCAGGCGCACCAGTTGCCCGACCTGCGCCCAGCCCTGGCGACGACGGGCCCCCCGAAGGCCAACTGCCGCTGTCTCGACTGGCCCTCTTCTGGCGGAGCAGGTTCTGGGCGGCAGCCCCGAAGGCCCGCCCCCACGTCGCCGCGGCGTCGAGGCGGCGCGAACCTGCCGCAGGGGCTTCGGGGGAAGAGTGTTCCGTTGTTCTGGCCTGCGCCACCTGCCCGTGGAGCTCCGCGTGCCGTGGCCTCAGAGCGCCTCCGGCGTCCCGCACCAGGGGCTGGCAGCAGAGCTCCTGGTCCCGCCTCTCCCTCCCACTCCGCTCCTGCTCCTCCACCCGCGCCCCCGTCCCCCCCGCCCCTCCCTCCGCCCCTCCCTCCCTACACCACTCCTCCTCCTCCTCCTTATCCTCCTTGTCCTCCTCCTCCTCCTCTTCCTCCTCGTCCTCCTCTTCATCCTCCTCCGCCTCCTCCTCCGCCTCCTCCTCCTTCTCCTCCTCCTCCTCTCCCTCCTCCTCCACCCCCTGCTCCTGCTCCTGCTCCTGATCCTGCTCCTCCTCTTCCTCCCTTTCCCCCTCCTCCTCCTCCTCGTCCTCCTCCTCCTTCTCTGCCTCCTCCTCCTCCTCCTCCTCCTCTCCCTCCCCCTCCTCCTGCTCCTGCTCCCGATCCTGCTCCTCCTCCTCCTCCTCCTCCTCCGCCTCCTCCTCTTCCTCCTTCTGAGGAGGAGGACGAGGGAGAGGAAGAGGAGGAGCCTTTCGCAGGCCTTTCGGGCAGCCACGTGGTGGCAGCGGCCGCGCGTAAGAGGAACAGGAGGAGGGGGAGGAGGAGAAGGCGGAGGAGGAATCGGAGGAGGACCTTCTCCTCCTCCATTCCTTCTCCTTGTAGATGACTTCTCCCTGTCGCGCCCCGAGGCCAATTTTTAGACCGGGCCGGGCGTTTCGCCTGAGAGTCCCTCCGCATCTATGACTCTGAGGCTTAAAAAGTGACAACCGTTTCACAAATGGAGGGCGGGTGGTTTTCAAAATGTGGCTCTCGCCTCATCGCCGCGCAAATTCGTTTTCAAAATTTGCAAAACAAAACAAAAAACGGATTGAGGGCGGGTGGGTTTCAAAATGTGGCTCTCGCCTGAGAGCCGCGCACATTCGATTTCAACAGTTGCAAAAGTTTCACGGATTGAAGGCGTGTGGGTTTCAAAATGTGGCTCTCGCCTTAGCGCCGCGGACATTCGTTCTCAACATTTGCAAAAGTTTCAAAGAATGAAGGCGGTTGGTCGTTTTCAACTTGTGGCTCTCGCCTGAGCGCCGCGTACATTCGTTCAGTAAAATTACAAGAGCTTCACATATGGAGGGCGGGTGGTTTTCAAAATGTGGCTCTCGCCGTAGCGCCGCGTACCTTCGTTTTGTAATGCAAAAGTTTCACGGATTGAGGGCGGTTCCTTTTCAAAATGTGGTTCTCGCCTCAGCGCCATGCATATTCGTCTTAAAAGTTCACCAAACTTCCACGGATTCCCATGATCAACAAGTGGCGTTATGGCACGATTCCGGATCGTCAAAACGCAACAATCGGCTTGATACGTGGCGTTGAAGTCCCGAGAACAATGTTTCGGCATGCGTCAGGATCTTCAAACTGTTGTCCTCCAGCGAGGCGGTTCCCTGCATGGAAATGAACCGTTGACGGAGCCCATGAAGAGGGAGCTTGGAGGGAGGGTTAAATCCAACATCGTTGATAACTCTTGGATTTACACTGGTCCTCCTCCTCCACGTCCTACGCCTCCTCCTCCTCCTCCTCCTCCTCCTGCTATTCCTCCTCCTCCAGCTCCTGCTCCTGATCCTGCTCCTGCTCCGCCTGCTCCTCAGCCTCCGCCTCCTCCTTCGCCTCCTCCTTCGCCTCCTCCTCCTCCTCCTCCTCTCCTCCTCCACCCCTCCTCCTCCCTCCTCCTCCTATTCCTCCTCCTCCAGCTTCTGCCTGACCCTGCTCCTCCTCCTCCCTCCTCCTCCTCCTCCTCCTCCTCCTCCTCCTCATCGCGCTCGCCACGCCTCCTCCCCCCTCCCTGCCCGGCCCCGCCCGCGGGGGCCCGCGGGAAGAGCTCCTGGTTCAGCGCCCCGGCGCTGCCCGCCAACGCCTGAGGCCTCGCGCTCTCCACGCGGAGCCGCCCCTCGCCGGCCCCGGGGCGGAGCTCCTCCAGGGAAGGGCCCGTCCCTCCTGCTCATACTGCTGCTGCTACTCCACCTCCTCCACCACCTCCTTCTAATCCTCACCCTCATCCGAATCCTCATCCTGTCAGCATCCTCATCCTCATCTTCATCCTCATCGGCATCCTCGTCCTCGTCCTCGTCCTCGTCCTCGTCCCGATCCTCATCCTCATCCTGATCATCGTCAGAATCATCCTGATCATCATCATCCTCATCCTCGTAATCATCATCAGCATCATCATCAGCATCATCATCAGCAGTATCATCATCATCGTCATCATCATCGTCATCATCATCGTCAGCAACGACATCATAATCATCATAAGCTTCATCATCATAATCATTACCGGCGTCATCCTCATCCTCAGCATGACCAGTTCCATCATCATCATGATCGTCATCATCCTCATCATCCTCATCCTTATCAGCAGCTCCATCATCATCATCATCATCATCATCAGCAGCAGCAGCAGCATCCCAATCATCATTATCACCATCATCATCATCAGCAGCAGCACCATCGCCAGCATCGCCATCATCAGCATCGGCATCCTCATCATCAGGCAGCAGCAGAAGCAACAGCATCATCATCATTAACAGCATCATCAGCATGTGCATCACCATCATCATCAGCATCCTCATCAGCCTGCTCATCGTCATTATCACCATCGCCATCATCATCGTCATACTCATCATCATTACCATCACCAACACCATCATCACCAGCGTCATCCTCAGCATCAGCATCATCACCATCATCAACACCACCATCATCGTCTGCGTCATCATGAACAACATCATCACCATATTCATAATCATCATCAGCATCGACATGATGATGATGATGATGATGATCATCATCATCATCATCATCATCATCATCGCCATCATCCTCTTTATCGGGACTATCATCCGAATCAACATCATACTCATCATCTTCAACATCATCATCACCATAGTCATCACCACCATCATCATCACTATCAGCATAATCGTCATCATCATCGTCATCATCAGCATCACCACCAATATAATCATCAGCATAATCGTCATCATCCTCATCATCCTCATCACACTCCTCATCATCATCATTATCGTAATCATCATCGTCACCATCCGCAGCATCATCATCGCCACGATTATCAGAATCATAATCATCAGCAGCATCATCAGCATTATCATCATAGTCATTATCATTAGCATCATCATCATCATCATCATCAGCATCATCATCTTCATCGTCATCATCACCATCGCCAACGACATCACCATCATCACCCTCATCAGCAGTAGCAGCGTCAGCATCAGCATCAGCATCGGCATCATAAACAACATCATCATTAAGATCATCATCATAATCATAAGCATCATCATCATCGTCATTAACATCATCATCATCATCATCAGCATCATCATCATCATGATCACCACTATTCTAACTCATCGTCATCCCCATCATCATCGTCATCATCAGCATCATCATCATCATCCTCATCCTCATCCTCATCCTCATCCTCGTCCTCCTCCTCCACCTCCTCCTCCTCCTCCCCCTCCTCCTCCTCATCATCATCATCATCATCAGCATCAGCATCATCATCATCATCATCATATCATCATCATCATCATCATCGTCTTATCATCTTTATATCATCATCAGCATCATCATCATCCCATCAGCAATCAGCATCAGCATCAGCATCAGCATCAGCATCTCAGGCATCATCATCATCATCATCATCATCATCATCATCATCATCATCATCATCATCATCATCGTTTCCGCGTTTCGCATACATCTCCCTCCTCCTCTTCCTCCTCCTCCTCCTCCCTCACCTCCTACTTCTCCTGCGTTCCGTGGATGGCTCCGCCGTTCCTCCTCCTCCTTTTCCTCCTCCTCCTCCTCCTCCTCCTCCTACTTCTCCTCCTCCACCTCCTCTCGAGGCGCCGCCAGGGGGGGGGCAGCACCGATCCAAGAAGTCCGCGCAGACCTCCGAAAGTTTCTGTTTGTGCAATTGTGTCTCCTCGCTCGAGCCCATCCCCAGAACCTTCGTCTCACAGCGGGTCGTCTTTCTTCTGGTTGCCCCATGGCCCCAAAGCGGCTCCAGGCCCTGAGCTGCACAACGATGCCCGTGACGTCGAGCGAGGGCCTCTGAACTCGGAGGCCCATCGTGGCCCCCGATCGCGGCCCCCTCCACGTAACTGCGCAAGGCTGTTTAAGGTGATCTGCAGCAGGGGTGCAACGTCACGCGACTCTGGGAGGCCGGGGAATCCTCCTCTTTCTCCTGCTCCTCCTCCTCCTCCTCCTCCTCCTCCTCCTCCTCCTCATTCTCCTCCTCCTCCTCTCCCTCCTCCTCCTCCTCCTCCTCCTCCTCCTCCTCCTCCTCCTGCTCCTCCTCCTCCTCCTCCTGCTCCTCCTCCTCCTTCTCCTCCTCACCCTCGTGCTGCTTCTGCTGCTGCTGCTGCTGCTGCTGCTGCTGCTGCTCCTCCTCCTCCTCCTCCTCCTCCTCCTTCCCCTCCTTCCCCTCCCGGTCCGCCCTTCCCCTCCCCCCTTCCCTCCACCCCTGCCCTCGCCGGAGGGGTGCCTTGTTCGCCCAGCAGCGCTGGAACGCGCTCGCGCGCTCGACGTTCTCAAAATTCAGGAGGGCATAGCCCCGGTTGCCACGGGCGCGGTCGTCCCAGGGGCAGTGGAAGAAGTCCAGGCTCTCGCGCAGGGCGGGGAACTTCTCCTTCGGCTGGATCGAGAGCGAGAGGGAGGGGGGCAGGAAGGAGGATGCTTGTTTCTTGAGCCTGGACAAGGAGAAGGAGGACTAGGAGAAGGAGAGGAAGGAGAAGGTGGCGAAGGAGGAGAATGAGGAGCAGGATGAGGAGAACGATGAGAACGATGAGGAGGAGGAGTCAAGAGGAGGAGGAGGAGGAGGAGGAGGAGGAGGAGGAGGAGGAGGAGGAGGAGGAGGAGGAGAAGCAACAACAGCAGCAGCAGCAGCAACTGCAGCAGCAGGAGGACGAGGGAGGGGGAGGGGGCAGAGAAGGGGACAAGAAGGAGGGAGGAGGTGAGTGCGCAGGGGGGAGGCGGCAGGAAGGGAGAGAAGGATGGGGACGGGGGGGAGAAGGGGGAGCGAGAGACGGGAGGGAAGGAGGCCTTGTTCGCCGAGCGGGCCTGGTGGAATATGCTTGCCCGTGGGCGTTACTATTCGCACGCTCGGCCACCCAGCCTGCTCCCAGTGGAAGAGGAAAGGAGGAAGAGGGACGAGGGGCTGGAGGCAGAGGGGTAGAACGAGAAAGTCTCCTCGAGCCTGGACAGGAGGTCCTCCTGGCGCAGGTACCTGGGCACGTGGCTCACCTTCAGGCAAGTCGCCCCGATGCTGCTGCACGGCTCGCTGCGACCGCCTGCGGGCACGCCCTTGTCCTCCACCCTCATACCTCCAAGCTCGTTCCTCCTACCTCATTGTTTCCACCACATCCTCCTACCCTCCCTCCCTGTCTCCCCCCCTCTGTCCCTCCTGCTCCCCTGTCCCTGCTGCTCCTGCTGCTCCTCTTCCCCGTGCTCCTCCTCCGGTTTCCACCTCCACCTCCTCCTCCTCTTCTCCTCCTCCTCCTTTCTCATCCTGTCGCATCCTCCTCATCCCTCCTCCTCCCTCCTCCTCCTTTTCCTCCCCCTCCTTCTCCTCCTCCTCCTCCTCCCGTCTCATCCTGTCGCCCTCCTCCTCCTCCTCCTCCTCCTCCTCCTCCTCCTCCTCCAGCTCCAACCCTCCTCCTCCAGCCCCGACTCCCCCCCTCCCCCCCCGGGGACGCCTGCAGCGCCCCTCCGCCGACCATCCGGCGCGGCGGCCGGAGCTTTCGGGCTGTCGGGGTCGACCCGCGACGCCCAGGAGACGCCGCCGCCGTAGCCTCGCGGAGGGACGGTCCGAACCTCCCTGGGGGCCAGGGGGGGGAGGGGCCACGCCGAGACGTCCGAGCGTGCGGAGAGAAGGGGGAGGACTTCGGGAGCCGCCGCCGTCGAACGCCCGACGCTGCGTCGATCGTCGGCTGGGGCCGAGCTGGAGCCGAGCTGGAGCCGCGACGCCAGAGAGTCGAACTGGAGTCGAAGTAGACTCTAGCCGAAGTGGAGCACGTCCGCCTGGTGGGCCCCAGGAAGGGGCCCCAGCGACGAACGAATCAGAGGCCTCCAATATGGGGTCGGAGCACATGGGATCGGAGGATCGCGCCGCGCCGCCGATACATCGGCGATGCATCGGCGATGCACCGGCAATGCATTGTCGCCGTCGGCGATGCATCGGCGACGTCGACGCGACGCGAAACGGGCCCCACATCGAGCCGCATCGGCGATGCATCGGCGATGCGGCGCGCTCCTCCGACCCCACCTGCTCCGACCCCATCTGGGAAGGCTACAGCTAGGATGTTCCAACCTACTTTAGCCTGGATCACCAGAAAGAACTTCAGAAATTGTTTCTGGGATGTGGTCCTTAAAGTACGATCGGGGCAACATAAGGCTATAGTTGTGGATGCCACGACAATGGACACCCTAACAGTCCGATCATTGAATTCAAAATGTGTTGAAAAGTCAGAACATGTAAGCAAGTTTAAAACATGCTTCACCTGTCAAAAGCATGCTCCGCCCATGCTTTAGACACCTGGACATGGATGTGGCAGCATGCCTCCTCTCCAGTGTGATCGCCCTCCAACCTCCACCAGGCTATAGTCGCATGCCCCTCCCTTATGCCGACCGAGCGTGAGCAGCAGCCGCCGCCCTTTTGCGGCCCGCCCTGGCTGGCCGCTGCTGCTCCCGCTGGACGGCGGGCGGCGCCCCGCGTGGCCGCCGCCGGGGTCCTCCGCTGGCGCCCGGCGGCGTCGGGGGGGCGCCTCCCCCCCGGGGCTCCTCCGCCTGCCGCCGCCTCCTCCTGATCCGTCCTCCTCGGGGCTCCTCCTCCTCACCATCATGCTCGTGCTCCCCCTCCTCCTCGACCTCCTCGATCTCCTCGTCCTCCTCCGCCGCCTCCGTCTCCGTCTCGTCCTCCTTCTCCTCCTCCTCCTCCTCCTCCTCCTCCTCCTCCTCCTCCTCCTCCTTCCTCCTCCCCCCCCGCTCTCCACCCCCTCCGCCTGCTTTCCACTGCCCCTCCTCCACAATCACACAATATGAATACTAATCTCCTGAAGATCCGGAAAATGTTCGGCCCCCCTCCACGTACTGTTTTCACACACCGGATTCCCAGGAATTGTGTTTTCGCATAGGTTTTTGTTCCAGAATGTTGCTCCCGCTGAAACGGCTGAAACGATGGCCTCATCTTCGGGCTTCCGCTCGTTCCGAATCGCGCTCCCGCTGCAGCGCTGGCCTCATGTCCGCGCTTCCGCTCGTTCCGAATCGTGTTCCCGCTGCAGCGCTGGCCTCATTTCCACGCATCCACTCGTTTCGAATCGCGCTCCCGCTGCAGCGCTGGCCTCATTTCCGCGCATCCGCTCGTTCCGAATCGTGCTCCAGCTGCTGCGCTGGCGTCATTATTTCCAGTGCCGTGCCACGGCATGCAATGCAATGCTATGTGGTGTTCCGCTGTGCGATGCCATGCCTTCAGCTGCAATGCTAGGATATGCAGGGCTTGACTACGCAGTGCAACGCCATGCTCTGCCATGCTACGCTTTGATCTTCAACGCCATGCTATGCCATGTTCTGTTCTATGCCGCTGTGCGATGCCATGCTCTGCGATGCAATGCTTCGTGATGCAATGCTTCTCTACGCAACGCCACGCCATGCTATTACATACCACGCTCTACGGTGCTCTTCTATGCCCTGCTCTGCCGTGCTCTACGATGCATCGCCCTACCTCAAGGGACCATTGCCCTTCTCGACATCCGACTGCGCGAATAGAGAGGAGATCGACGCCATGGCGAGGGATGGGAGGGAGGGGCAGGACGTCAGATGTGACGCGAGCGCACCTGGCCTGTCCCACCCCCTCCCCCTCCCTCCCTCCCGCCCCCCCCTCCTCCAGGCCGCCGACGACGCGGCGGCGTGGCGGCGGCGTGGCGGCGGCGTGGCGGCGGCGTGGCGGCGGCGATCCTCCGCGGTCACCCGGCGCTGCCGCCGCGGCGGCCGGGTCTCCACGGTCGCCGCGACGGAGCTGCCGGAGCTCACCGAGTCGCCGCTGCCGCCGCTGCCGCCCGCGCTCCACTCGGCCGGCTGCCCGCGGGCCCACGTGTGGGCCTCGGGGGGGGGGAGGGGGGGGGTGGCAGGAAGGGACGGGGAGGGGAGGGGGAGGGGCGAGAGAGGAGGGGGAGAGGAGGGGGGGAGGAGGGGCGAGAGAGGAGGGGGGGGGGAAGGACAGGAGGGGAGGGGGAAGGGGCGAGAGAGGAGGGGGAGAGGAGGGGGGGGGACCAGGAGGCCGGGCGACGGGGCGAGCAGGCCGCAGGCCGCCCCTTGCGTTCCTGCCCTGTCTGGCCGACCGCCCTGCCTCCGTCGAGCTGCGGGGGGGCGCGTCCCTGGGCCGGTCCCAGTCCAGCAGTGATGCGCTCACGGCGTGCGTATCGAGTCGTGCGCTTCGCGCTACTCTGGACCGGGGCGGTCTCCTCTGCTGCAGTGCGCGACGCGCGGCAAGACAGGGCGTGCTTTCATGTCTGGAGCAAGCAAAACTTTAGCCGGGGTCGTCGGCCAGACCCCCACCTCCGACTCCACTGCCATGGGATTCGATCTGTGCGCGTCCAGGCAAATATTGGGTATCATCTTCGACGCTGATCTCACTTGCGGCACTTTCGTGCGATCGCTGCTCGCGCGATGGAGGGCCCGTTTCGACGAACCCCTCCAGGCCGCAGGCGCGGGTGGCTTTCCCGACCCAGAGCTCGCAACGCAAACTCCCTCCAGGATGGAGGGGGCCATCCTGTGCGGGGCTGCGCTCCTCGCAGACGTGGCCCGCATCGAGTCCGACCCGAAACAGCCCGCAGGCGTACTGGGCCAAAGCCAGCCTCAGGTGCAAGGGCGGGCGGCATCTGCACTGGGCGCCTTCCTGGGTCCCCTGTGGTTGGCGGCGTTTGGGGGCACGGATGCTCGCGCCAGCGATCGTGGCGAGGGCGCGGCTGCGGGTGCTCCCCGGCGGCCACCCCGCAGTGGTGATGCGGGCAGCGGCCCGCTCCTCGCCTGCCCTGGTGCGGTGGAGGCGAACCGGCCTGCGACTTGAAGAGGTCCCGTGCGGCCCTGCCCCAGGCTTCGTCAACAGCAGACAGCTCGAGGGGGCAACTCGCGGGACCGACAGCAGACCCAGGAGAACGGCAAGCTGGTCTGAGACGGCACAAATGGAGAGCTTGTTCGCCCAACTCTACGCGAACGTGACCGGGCGGCACACCAGTTGGCGGCCGCCTGCCCGTAATTACCATCCTTCGGTGCCCCCTTCTCCTCCTTCCAGCCCGCGGCGGATGCCGTGTCGGGCGGAAGAGTTGAGATCACTGGAAGGTGTCGGATCGCTGCACGTTCGGTTGTGGGTGACGCAGGCTCAGCGGGCGCTCGCTCCCGGTGTTTGGAGGCGAGGACCCGCCGATAGCGCTCGCCACTTGCGGTGCCTGCCCGTGCGGGGACGTGCCTGCAACCCACGCCCTGTTGGCGTGCGTTGGCGCGCCCGCCCTCCGCAGGGAGGCTATGGCGGAGTACCTCCGTGCCCGCCCTTGGGCCCACTAATAGGGAAACGAACTCTATACCCCGACGCTTTTTTCGACCCTGTGCTGAAATTCGCACAAGAACGCGGATCCTGGCGCATACGTGTATACGGGATCCTGGTGTGTACGTTTTTCGTCGTTGGAAAACGAGGGACAAGTATACACCACACCACCCCGACGTCGTCCCCGACCCTCGAAAAGTCGTGGGATTGAAACAACAACCCGCCCCTGGTCATGAATATGTTCCAGTTGCCGAACAAAGGGCAATACTGAGTGCACTCCTTGGGCACGAGCGTGGGCCAACCCACGCCCGCTTCGCGGCACATGCACCCGGTGCTGTGCAGCGGGTGCCGTGGAGAGACGGGGCCGTGCCGGAGCGGCCGCGAACGGAGCGCTCCGCAGCACCGGCGGGCGAAAGGCCCTTGCTGGGCCCGCGCGCGGCAGCGCGGCGAGGCGGACGGTGCGAGCGGCGAGCTGGCGCTCGGCAGCGCGCGGCAGCGCGTGGTGGCCCGGCGCGCGGCAGCGCGCGGCGAGCGCGCTGGCGCGAGACGAGAAGCGAGAAACGGGAGAAACGAGAGAGGGGGGAGGGAGGGAGGGGATGGAGGGAGGGGGGAGGGGTGGGGAGACAAGCTGTGTGCGCTCGCGTCATATCTGCCGTCCTGCCCCTCCCTCCCATCCCTTACCATGGCGTGGATCTCCTTCCTACTCGCACAGTCGGGCGTCGCAACATGGCATAGCATTTCATGGCATAGTGGTGTTGAATCAACGCGTAACATGACATAGCATGGCGTGGTGACGCCCCAGAGTGGGGAGCGGACACAGCATGGCGTGGTGACGCCCCAAAGTGGGGAGCGGTCTTCTACGGCCCGAAAGTGGGAAGCGCCGGTCCGAACATGAAGCCCACGCTGCAGCGGGAGCACCACTCGAACCACCAGAAACAATCGGATTAACACACATAAGAAAAGCAACGATGGAAATCCTGTGTGAACAACAACACACAGATGGGGCGGGAGATCTTCCGGACAACTTCAGAGGGGGAGGGAGAGTAGTATGCATATTCTTGTATCGTGAAGGGGTGAGGTGAGAAGAGAAGGGTGGGGAGGAGGGGGAGGGGGAAAGGTGGGGTGGCGGGTTGGGGAGGGATGATGTCAGATCTAGGGGGGATGGGAATGGTGAAGATGGAAGGGGGACGGCGGGACGGACGAGGGGATGGAGGAGCAGGAACAGGAGGCCCGAAGACAAGAAAGGAACAGGGCCAAACTCGAGGGGGCAATCTCTCGCTCCTCCGTCCCAATGCGGATGTCCCCCACAGCGCCGTGCACGTTCGTTTTGGAAACTTCTGCCAAGTACGGAAAAGGAGGCTCTCGCCAAAGCGCTAAGCACACTCGTCTTGGACAACCCAACAGGAGGTGGTTCGAAACTGCGGCTCTCGCCAGAACGTCATAGCGCCCTGCACAGTTGTTCAAACAGTTCCTAACAATCACAGGGATGGGGCCAGCCCGTTCCTCAGACTCTCGGGCCCGAAGTTCCACACAGTGCAAGTTACACGGATGGATGGCGGTCGCTTTTCCAAGTGGGGCACTTGCTTGAGTATTCCACAGACTTGCTGACAAGGGCTCTGAAATCGTGCAACCCTTTCACGGATGGAGTGCTGATCCTTTTCAATGCAGTGTTATCGCTGGGTGCGTCCTTTAACTTCATTCGAATCTTGCCCATGGAGGCTGGATCCTTTACGAACCAGGGCCTCGTCTCTGCGGCAAACCCACCAGGCGCTCGTGATTTAAAGGGGGCGCTTCCCGCAGTGGAGAAAAGGGGGGCTTGGGACGGGAGAGTGTGCTACATCATCGTTGGCACATCCTGGGTGTACTCTGGTCCCTCCTGCTCCTCCTGTTCCCCCAGTCCCCTCTTGGTCGTCATCCCCCCTCCCCTCTCAAGCCATGGTGGGACAAGCCTGCCCGTTTACCCATCGCCCCGGGGCTTAATGTAGGGTTGATCCCCCTGCGGTTTGAGGACGTATGTATAGTATAGGCAGCACATGGATGGAATATCAGATGGCTTCGGCTTGGAAGCGACAGGTTCAAGAGCACGGTGTTCAACAAAGGCGCCGTCTCAAAGAGGGTTGCACGCATCTCCCGTAACATGATACTCACCATGGACTGTCCGTCCGCGTGGTGGCTGGCATTCAGGTGTTATGTTGATCATAGGCAGGTGGGGAAGCAAACCAGAATGCAGTTTGCTAAATAATTCCCATGTCTGCAAAACAGGAATCCGTAGGCAAAGGTGTATGCGTGTTCTTCTTGTTGGTCTTGTGCTGGAATATTGCTAAAGAGAGGTCCCATGCTAAGCCTTGGTCTGGCCATCGCTCGGACGTCCATTCCCGGTGCTTTTTTCAGTTTCGTGCGCGGTTTCTCGCCAATTGATCAAGGATGCTCCTCGATTGCCCTCGCCGAAGGAAAAATGCACACGTCCGAGCGATGCCAAGTGGTGATGTGGACCGTGTGGACATGGTTAGAAAGTGTCGGGTTCGCACATGTACTAGCGTGAGGGTGTATGATACGTGAGAGTGCCCGACCCGAGCGAGGGGAGGGCAGGCTCGCGGGCCTCTTTTCACTACGAGCACAAACAGCGCCGACGTATACAACAACATGATATGTTTTCCAGGTAGCGGCACCAACCATCCATACTCGATGTCGGCGCAAAGTGGTTAAATGTGGCGAGGGGAGCGTTAGTAATGACTCACAAACACATCATTCAACTCATCCTGGAAATGGTTTGCTTGGGCCGTGTAGGACAACGAACAAGCCTCCCTGAACAAGCTTGCGCTGAGCGGCGTCGCCAGCACTACGCGAAGTGAGCGGAGTTTGTGTCCGAGTTTCAAGTTTTGAGTTGTAATCGACTCCCCTTCCTCCCCCTGCACCTCCCCTTCCTCCGACTCATTTGATGGGATTCGCAGGAATTCGCCCTGTTGTGAGTTCTCCCCTCATGATCTTTCAATTCGGTGGGCAAAGTTTGGCGCCGCCGCACGTCTGGCAAGAGCCCAAGTGAAACGAACGTACGCTGCAACCCGTCAGGCCCTCCTCTACACTTGTATCACCCCTCGCCATCCCCTGCCCAAATCCGCCGGCCCCCTTGTGGGGCCACCAGGCTGTAGGGCCAAGCTTCGCAGTTTCCTGTGCCAGTTGCAGCTTCCAGTTTCCACTGTTACAGTTCTGCTTCTTGCTGCTTACTGTTCCTTGTTGACTTCTTGCTGCTTACTGTTCCTTGTTGATGGACCGCGCGAGGGGGGGAGGCCCAAAACGGTCATTTTTACCACGCCCAAATCGTATGCTCTGAATTGCTGGGGTGGGTAAACATTGGCACCGCTCAAACAGATCGGCGGGGTCAGGGTCCAAAAACACAAAGGATTTGCCACATTTCTGAAATTCAGCGGCACCCCTCACGCAAATCCGCAGGGTCAGGGTCCAAAATCACATGGGATTTACCACATTTCTGAAATTCGGCGGCACCCCTCACGCAAATCGGCGGGGTCAGGGTCCCAAAACACAAGGCATTTGCCACATTTCTGAAATTCGGTGGCACCCCTCACGCAGATCGGCGGGGTCAGGGTCGAAAAACACATGGGATTTGCCACATGTCTGAAATTCGCTGACACGCCTCACGCAGATCGGCGGGGTCAGGCTGGAAAAACACATAGGATTTGCCACATTTCTAAATTCGGTGGCACCCCTCACGCAGATCGGCGGGGTCAGGGTCCAAAAACACATGGGATTTGCCACATTTCTGAAACTCGGTGGCACCCCTTACGCAGATCGGCGGGGTCAGGGTCCAGAAACACAAGGGATTTGCCAGATTTCTGAAATTCGGCGGCACCCTCATGCAGATCTGTAGGGTCAGGGTCCAAAAACATAAGGGATTTGCCACATTTCTGAAATCCGGTGGCACCTGTGACGCAGATCCGTAGGGTCAGGGTCGAAAACAAACAAAAATGTCCCGACACTGCTTCACGGCGGTGCCCAGACCTCATGATTTAGCTCTTCCATGGCGCATTCTCCGAGAGAGGGGGCCGGCGGCAGGGGGCGAAGCCCTTACGGATAATGTAATAGGCGTCCACTGGGTTGAATTGTTGGGCGTCCGCGCGGTGGGGGGTGGGAGGTTACATTATGGGAAACTGGATGGAGGTGGGAAGTATACGGGGGGATGACCCTGTTGAGTGGAGATCGTAGTGGGTGGAGATCCTGCCCCGGAATTGATTTCAGCGTTTTGTAAAGTTGGAGTGTTGTGTGTGGAGCTACGCGCGGTCGACGAGTCCGTTCCTTTGCCCCCCTCCTCCCCGCCTGTAGTCCAGTGTAGTCGTACAATGGCTATTGAATCCGTTTCGGCCTCGTTTGCTTCTGCTGCTGCTGCTGCTGCTGCCAAGAAAAGTGTCATGGAGTGTGCACGCGCGAACCCCCCGGCTAACAAACAGCCTCGACTGCGTTGCCGCTGCGCCAGTGTCGCCAAAGCGGCCGCATCCTCATCCCCCCCCTGCCCCCTTCTCCTCGCCATCTCCTCCTCATCCTCCTCCGCCTACTAATGTTCCGCCTCCTCCTCATGCTCCTCTTCCTCACCATCATCATCATCATCATCAGCATCATCATCAGCATCATCATCATCATCATCATCATCATCATCATCATCACCATCAGCAGCAGCAGCATCCTCATCATCATGATCACCATCATCATGGTCATCAGCATCAACAGCATATTCATCATCATCAACCTCATCATCAGCATCAGCAGCAGCATCCTCATCATCATGATCACCATCATCATCAGCATCATCATGAGCATCGTAATAATCAGCAGCATCATCGTCATCCTCATCCTCATCCTCATCAGCATCATCATCATCAGCATCAGCATGAGCATCATCAGCAGCATGATGATCATAAGCATCATCATCATCGTCATCGTCATTGTCGTCGTCAGCACCATCATCACCATTATCATCAGCAGCATCAGCATCACCACCACCATCACCATCGTCAGCATCACAATCACCATCGTCAGTTTCATCAGCATCATAATCATCATGAGCATCACCATCATCATCTTCATCCTCATCCACAGTATCCTTCTCCTCCTCCTCCTCATCATCATCAGCAGCATCAGCATCATCATCATCATCAGCATCATCATCAGCACCATCATAACATCATCATTAGCATCAGCATCATCATCATCAGCACCATCCACATTTTCACTATCAGCATCATCATTACATGCATCGACATTATCGTTACCATCAGCATCATCATCATCATCATGAGCATCAGCATCACCATCATCACCACCACCAGCATCACCACCATCACCACCGTCACATCGTCCACGTCATCATAATCATCATCATCATCATCATCATCATCATCATCATCATCATCATCATACTCATCATACTCATCATCGTCATCGTCATGATCATCGTCATCATCGCCATCGTCACCATCATCATCATCATCATCATCATCATTATCATCAGCAGCATCATCATCATACTCACCATCATCATCATCACCATGATCACCATCCTCATCCTCATCCTTATCCTCATCCGCATAATTACTCCTCCTCCTCCTCCATCTCCTCTTCGTCCCCCTCCTCCAACATCATCAGCATAATCATCATCATCATCATCATCAAAACCATCATCATGCTCATGATCAGAATCAGGATCATCATCATCAACAACATCATTGATAATGATCATAACCACCATCATCACCATCCTTATCCTCATCATCCTCATCCTCAACCTCAACCTCATCCTCATCCTCCCTCATCCTCATCCTCATCCGCATCTGCATCCTCCACCTCCTCCTCATCATCATCGTCATCATCATCGCCAACATCGTCGTCATCTTCGTCGTAGCCATTATCCTCCTCCTCCTCATCATCGACATCATCATCATCATGATCATGATAATCATCATCATCATCATCATCATCATCATCATCATCATCATCATCGACATCATTATCTTCATCACCACCACCGTCACATCGTCATCGTCTCTGTCATCATCTGCATCGTCATCATCATCGTCATGGCCAAAATCATCGTCATCTTCGTCGTCACCATCACCATCATCGTGATCATCACCACCATCATCATCATCATCATCATCATCATCATCATTCTCATCACCGTCATCGTCATCATCATCGTTGTCATCATCATCATCATTGCTATTATCATTATCATCATCGTCATCATCATCACCATCCTCAGGCTCATCATCAGCATACTCATCGTCATCGTCATCATCGTCACCATCATCATCATCATCATCATGTGCATCCTCTGCATCATCTTCATCATCGTCATCATCATCATCACCATCATCATCATCATCATAATCATCATCATCATCACCATCGCCATCACCATCATCATCATCATCATCATCATCATCATCACCACCATCATCATCATCATCATCATCATCATCATCACCACCACCACCATCATCATCATCATCGTCCTCGGTATCATCATCATCATCATCATCATCGTCATCGTCATCGTCATCGTCATCGTCATCGTCATCGTCATCATCATCATCATCATCATCATCATCATCATCATCATCATCGTCATCGTCATCGTCATCGTCATCGTCATCGTCATCGTCATCGTCGTCATCATCTTCGATGCAGGGACGGTCCGCCACGCTCGCGCGCCTGCTCCGTGCTGCCGCCCCCCTGCTCCTCGGGCGCTGGGGGCGCGAGCGAGCGCAGCTCCTCGGGCGCGTGGGCGAACCTCCGGGCGGCGGCCACGGCCGCGGGTGCGGCCCCGGCGGCGGCGATGTGCGCAGGCGGCGGCGACGTGCGGCGGCGGCGGCTGTGCGCTGCGGCGGTGCGGCGGCGAGGCGGCGCGGCGCCGCCCTCTCCGCCACCCCTCCGCCACCTCCCTCACGTGACCCCTCTCCTCCCCCTCCGCCTCCGGCCTCCGCATCCTCTTCCTTTCTTCCGCAGCGGCAGGAGCGCCGTCCGCTTCCCCTTCCTTTTCGCGCTCTGCGTTTCACTCCGCGATCGCGTCTGTGAGCCCGGCTGCCCTAGCCTCGGCCCTGCGGGGCGATTCCTCAAGACACCTCTCCAGCTCGGCGCATTCACTCGCGATAGCGTGGTACCACATCTCAAGAATTGCCACTCGTGACTCCATATCAGACTCGTTCTTCTCCCCTTTACGGCTGCCATGCGTGCTTCTTGTTCGGACCCCCGCCATCGATCGTCATCTCTCTCTTTCTGTCGTCGTTTTTCTTCCGCCTCCCTTGCGCGGCGTGCCGTTGCACGCTCTTCGTCAATAATATTACGAACACAGCGCTTGCACGTGCAAGCCCCAAGTCTGAAGTGGCCATTGCAACGCGGTCGATCGAACATCGGCAATCCGTGTGTCGGAGCTGCACGCATAAGTTGCATAGAAAGGCACTGCCATCAGCCGACGCCGTTGCCCTCTCACCCCTCTGGGTGGCGGTTCTTGTGCCAGCGCGATGCAAAACCGTCGATGTGGCGGACGCCTGGCGAGTACAACTCGCCCTTTTCCGCGAACACCGATTCACTTCTGCAGCAGATCTCCCTTGAACGAAGGATCCTTCGATGAAGAATTGCAAAATTAACGAAGGATTTTTTTGCAATCAGGTGTTGTTTGCAATCCTTGATTTTTTGCAATCCTTCGATGGATGGCATTGCGGCGCGCGCGCGAAGGCGCGCGCGCTCCCTTGGCTGCTGTTGGCAAGGCGCGGGCGGCGCTCCGCCGAAATCCAGCTACCGCTCTGATTGAGGGGCACTCATGAGGCCTGAGCCAGACAACCGCAGCAGCGGGCGGATGGATGACTAAATGACGCATGCAGGACGACTTCCTCCTCCTCCTCCTCCTCCTCCTCCTCCTCCTCCTCCTCAGGCTCGAAACTCCTCCTCCTCCTCCTCCTCCTCCTCCTCCTTCTCCTCCTCCTCCCGTCCCCCCTGGACGGGGGTGGGGGCGAATCTCCCTGAGGCTGCCCTGGGAGCCGACAGGCGGCGCCGGAGCGGCACTTCCCGCTGCGGGCGTAGTTGCACATCCTCGCGGGACGCCCGCTCACCACCTCAGCCATCGCTCGGACGTCCATTCCCTGTGTTTTGTTTCGGTTTCGTGCGTGGCTTTTTCGCCAAATGATCAAGGATGCTCCTCGATGGTCCTCGCCGAAGGAAACATGCACACGTCCGAGCGATGCCAGGCCTCTCCCACGCATCGCGAGCGGCGAGAGTGTCCGCTTTCGCGCCCTCGCGGTCTGCGCGATCCCGCGGACATGCGCGGTCGCACGGACACGTCCCGCGCGGGGCATCCGCGAGCACGCGCCGCGTGCCCGCGGGGGGGCCCGAGGCCCCCCGGCCCGACCCCGCGAGGCCGCGGGGGTACCAACCGCTTGAATGTCTCCCGCCCGCGGTGCGCAGCCGGGCGGCCTCCCACACTTTGGGGGGGGGGGGGCGGCAGAGAGGGCGAGGGGGAGATGCTGAGGCTTCCTGGAGATTGGACGCCCGAATTATCCGGGGTAACTCGGGTCCGGGGTAACTCGGGTTTGGTTTCCCGAAAAACGAACCCGAGTTAACCCTGACCCGAATTACCCCTGATGATTCGGGGCTCTGGACACCCGAAATATCCGGGGTAACTCGGGTCCGGGGTAAGTCGGGTTCGGATTCCCGAAAAACGAACCCGAGTTAGCCCTGACCCGAGTTACCCCTGATGATTCGGGGCTCTGAGGAGATGTCTGGGGATCCCTGAAAGCTGTGGGCTGCTTCCGCGGAAGCTGGTCGGGAGGAGCAGCGGCACCGATCGAGCACCCCAGAGGCCCCCCTGCGACTGCACCAGAGACCTGCCCCGATCCTGGCCAGACAGGCCCTGGGCGTGGATCCAGACGCCCGGGACGTCGCGCAGCAGAAACTCTGGGGCCAGACGAGGCCAGGACCTGGACACCAGCGGACCCCGAGACACCAGGGATCTCTGCGACCCGCCGGCTCTGGAAGAGGAGTCGGGCGACAGCGGCCGCTCCGGAGCGCTTCCGGAACGCCCCGAGAGCAGAGAGCGTTCTGGGAGCGCTCTCGGCCCCCAGGACTGCCCGATGAAGGTATTCCTTGCCCGAAATTGTGGCGCCCGGAGCCGCTTTCGTTGTAGATGCCACGACAGTGGACACCCTAACAGTCCGATCATTGAATTGAAAATGTGTCTAAAATGTGTGAAACATGTTCCAGGCATGTTTTCAACATGTGTTTTACATGTCTTTGGCAACATGCCTCCCTTCCATTGCTCGTCCTCCACAACTCAGAAGCCGGGCAAGGGCTGCTAAATCCGTGGCTGCTAAAATCGACCTCCAGGAAGTTGTCTTCGTCCTTCCGGGAAGAAGCCCGTTGACTGTTTCGCGTGCCGCGCCTCACTCCGGGAAGTTGTGCTTTCCTTCCGGGAGGGCCGTTTCAGCAGCCACGGTTTTAGCAGCACTCGCCCAGCGTTCGAACGACGCTCCGCCCAGGGTAGGAGGTCTATCCGCCTCCGACGGGGCCCCGAGGAGGGGGCCCCGTCGGAGGAAAAAAATTGTACAATGCCCAACAACAAATGCTGTCCCAAGCCAACAGCGGCCGCTGTTGGGCAGGCGGCCTTCTGTCCCGAATGGGCACAGGCCGCGGCGGCGCGGACCGCGAGTCCTGCTCAAAATGAACAGGAGCTGCTGCTGGGCATCGTACCCATCCTTTCCGTACCCAGTCTCGGGGTGTCCAGAGCACACTTCCTGGGAACCACAAAAAAGGTTCTTAGAACCTTGCTTGGTAGGGCTCTAGGCGAACCAGGATGCTTCGCCACTGCCTGGGTAGTCGAAGCCAATCTGGCGCCAATCTGGCAGGCCCAATCTGGCAAACGGGGGCAATCTGGCGAGGGAGCCAACGCGAATCCAGCCTGGCGAATAACCCACATCATCCCGTTTGGCCGGGCCAGGTTGGCCCTTGGGGCCCAATCCAATCTGACAGTCTGGCCTTCGACTACCCAGACTGCTTGAGGGAGGGGGCCCCAGCGCTCCCCGGGGCCCGCGCCGTGGGCCGCGGCCCCGCCGTCGGAGGCCCGATGGGGGGCGTCTGCGCCCGTCTGGCCAGGCCAGGCGCGCGCACGCACCGCGCTCCGTGCCCCCCGGGCCTCGCCCGGCCGGGGTCGGCGCCGGTGGGCCTCGTGGGAGGGCCGGGTCCTCCAGGAGGTGGAGGAGGAGGAGGAGGAGGAGGAGGAGGAGGAGGAGGAGGAGGAGGAGGAGGAGGAGGAGGAGGAGGAGGAGGAGGAGGAGGAGGGGAGCTTTGAAGGGGCCCTGGGACACACAAGTAAACACACACACACACACAAAGAAACATGTTCCCCCTATTTGTCCATGTCTTCTGGGTGTCTGTCTTCCCCCCCGCTGCCCATATTTTCCCATACTTTCTGGGGAATCGACGATCAATTGTGTCTGTGTGTTTTTCCCCTCCTGATTTGTTCCCGGGGTCCTGGTCTTGAAGAAGCCGCAGGTGGTGCGCAGCGACGCCTGGTCGTGCGCGAAGCTGCAGAGAGCATCGCTGCAGATGCCGCCCCGCAGCACGGTCCTGCACATGCTGGTCCGCGTCAGGTCTGGCTTGTGGCGCACCTCATCGGCGGAGTGCGCGAAGGCACAGCTCTCGCCGTGCCTGCACACGCCCTGCTGGAACAGCTTGCACATGTCCGTCTTGAAGAGCTGATGGGCATTCTTCTTGCGCACGGAGATCCTCTGGCGGGGAGGCCGAGCACGCGACGGTACACCCGAGCAGGAACGACGGGGCTTTTCCGGCCACGGCGACCCTCGGCCTCGAGCAGGTTGCCCGACCTCTGCACTGGGGACCTGCCCAGCGACCAGAGCCCCGACGGAACCCACCTGCGGTCCTTAGCTCAGCGCGCTGACTGCTTCCCATTGGACACGGCCTAGCCTCAAGCCCCGACTCTCAAACAGCGCAGAGACAACCACGGGGGACACTGTGCACTGCCAACAGCAAGCAGGAGACTGCGTGCCGACAGTCAGACGAGAAAAAACCGAAACGTACACCCTCGAAGGTCCGCACGAACCTCACGCATCGGCGCTGGGGACCCGCGCAGAAGAACCACGGCTCATGCGTGTACACTGCTTCTGGCTCCTTGAGGGGCGTGGAGAGGAGGGGCCGCCGTCCTCTGTTCCGTCTGCCCGACCGAATGCCCACAGCCCGGCGCGGCCCGCCCGCTATTTGGATGCGCCAGCGACCGCGCTCGCTGCTGGCCAAAGACTGCTCTTC